ATAGAACTTTTAGCTTACTTTGGATTTAAATAATATTGAGACTGCATTTTTTGAATTCGTATCTGAAAAAAGAAATTACATGAAATCGATTTGATAATTTGAGATGAAGCTTCTATGATTCCGGAAAAAGCTTTAGAGATAGTACACAGAACTTTGCGTTATATATACAATACACACATACATTTCTCAAATAAATGAATAATTTTCAGAAGAGATTTCCGTCGAACATGTTCTGTCATAAAAAATGGTAATAGAAGTATGGTTATTCGCTATGCGCCTTTGTCCGGTAGTGCCATCGAGTGAGAGAAACTGTCCCTCGCTAAGATCACCAGAATGCATGCAGCCTTATAGAAAAATCTTACCTAATATATAAAGCAAAGTCGCTAAAACCGTTGTGATCGCTAACCGCGAAAACTACTGAACCGATTTTGCTGAAATTTTTCACACTGATTCATGACACTTCCTAGATGGTTTTAGTATGGTTTTTGTCTTAAAAAATTATGAATAATAGCAATAAATAAGCTCAAAGTTTTGCGAAAATACGCCAGCTTTTCACTTTAGTTCAGTAGGATCCACTAGGTGGCGTCGGCATAAAATCGAAGCTACCTGCAACAGAATTGAATAAGTGTGGTTATAATAGGCCGGAGCGTCGCTGAAATGCATGCAATCGTCTACTGGCAATTCATCGAGCTGCATCGAGAATGTAGATGATCGTCGTGCAGCTGGGTATCCCGGTTACCGATGACGCTCTTCTCCAATGAGTAAGTAATGTAGGCCTACTATCCTCAACCTCCAGGATTTACGAGTGCCACCCATTAAAAATGTAGTATAACCGATGACTTCTCCGGCGGTACACCCGGACACGAGTCTAGCCAGAGCATATCCTGCCCTAACCCTTTTTAGTTATATGGCTGTACCACAATCTGGCCTGGTGCCGTCAGATAATTTTATACTACAAATGTAAGCCAGGGAAAACAGCCCTGAGGGGCATGGGCAGCCATAACGGCTTCCTTTTCAGTGACCGTGTCCCCAACGGCATCCCCACATTTTCCCGATTAACGATGAGCGGTTGGTGATCCGGGGAACAACCCGAAGACGAAATATTTTTTGATCAGCGGCGTACGTCCCTCATGTACGGTCTCATGTGCAGAGAGACTCCGAGGGTAAGAGTCAAGCTGACCGCAGCTGGCTCTCCATCATCAAGAATGATAATAAGTAATGACTGGAAATTTTACCACTGGCCCTTTCCAGGGCCAATGTAAGCATTTACGTCCCCTACTTAACCATCAATCTCATCGGTTCTTTTAGGGGTCACGTAAGTTTAAACTAACTTGCCAACAAATACATTTTTACTACCATTTGCGGAAGCAATTCGTCGACTAAAAGACTGTATGTTAACTAAAGACGGCCACTATTAAACCAAGACAGTCATTCACTGGCAGTCGTCACGAGCGGAGTTGTTCGTCGCAAGGCTGTGAACCCCGGTGACCGACGACCCTATGTTACCTTCTCAACTCTAAGCGTTCAACCAGGAATCACCGACCCTCTTCAAGGTCTGCTTTAGGCAAACTTAGCAGCTATGAAGGGAAAAAGAACTTAAGCTAACAGGACAGTCTCCAACGGGCAAGTGTCACAAACCAATCTTTCCACCTTAAATCACCAAAACAACTGAGTCTGCAAAAAAAAGGTGCTTCAAACACTAACGTCTTCGGCGTTATACCAGGAGACGTTGGTAAAGATCTCTACAACTAGCTCCAAAGCTTCGAACTTTGTAATTTTTCTCCCGATCGGTCTGGGCCTTCAACAGCAGGCCAGAGGAGATCACCCTGAGGTATCCAGGCAGTCACAATTGCTGTAAACTTTAGTCAGGAAAGAGTTTACTTAAGAAGCCCACCGGTCTTTTTCAGGGCAATCGGACGTCGAACTACCTTGCCAACGAATATATTAGAACGTAACAAAGTGACAGAAAATATCCTTTAAGGGTCACAAAAGTCGCAAAAGGGTGAATTGGAAGGAAAACTTCAAATGTATCTAATGAATACAATTTTAGGCCTCAAGAAACTGACGCAGAAAATTTATGGAGATCGGAACAGCAGCCTCAAAATCGACAAATAAAGAATCCATTACGTTAGAGATCAGCTTTTTATTTTATCCTCACAGTAATCTCTTAAATCTTTAAAAATCTAATTTCAGGTTTTTAAATAAGAAGAAAATTTATTTGTACTTTTGTAGCAATGAAAAATGTAGAGATTAAGCTCCAGGACTTTGTTGCTCTGGTAATAAAGTTGTGAGATAAGAGAAAAAATATTTTTTTTAATATGTTTTTGGGAGTTTAAAATCCTAACATCTTTAANTTCAAAAATAGCCCTTTTCGTAAATTATATGTAAAAAACTGCAAATCAACGGCTTCTTACTGCCAACGATTATTTTATGGTATAAGGAACGCACGGTACTTTTCAGCATAATTATGTTTTTTTAATTTTTACAGCCAAATAAACTGTATGGATTGCGCACATATATGTTTTTAGTAAGCAGATTTTTGTTCTAAAAAGTGCCAGGAATAAACGTAAAATTTCTGACTGAAAAAGTGTCTCATTACATGTCAACACACTACGGTGTTCCGTTTAGTAAGTCACGGGCGAAGCCGAGACGGGGGACTGCTAGTGTTTTAATAACTTTAAAAAAAGATTGTTAAGAGTAGATTGACGAAATGAATCAGTGATTTGAGTGTGTATTATGTTAGTGTACAGTAATAAATTTTGTTTGGTGCTTTCATGTGTACTACAAGATTGAAAGAAATAAAACATGGATTGCGACTGTGATAACATAGCATATTTGAGTGCATATACATGCGTACACTTGTGCAAAGCTTAACGGTACACAAGTAATCCACGGAAACATAATATAAATGTGTAAAATTTAACCTAACCTGTCATTAATATTTACGTTCATTGAACACTATGTTGTGAGAAATTGATAAATGTAAGCAGTACTTGTGTTTTTCAAGCTCCACACAAGTACAAGCATGTATATGCACTCATATATGCTATGTTATCACAGTCGCAATCCATGTTTTTATTTCTTTCAATTTCGTAGTATACATGACAACATCAAACAAAACTTATTACTGTACACTAACATAATACACGCTCAAATCACTGACTTATTTTGTCAATCTACTCTTAATAATATTTTTTTAAATTTATTAAAACATTTTCTCATAAGGCTGCATACATTCTGGTGATCTTAGGGAGAAACAGTTTCTCTCACTCGACGGCGCCACCGGACAAAGGCGCATAGCGAATATCAGAAACTATGAAGTCATTATTTCTTTGAAGTTCTTTTTATATTTTAAAATTAAAGACAAACATTCGTCCTGGTAATGAAAATTTTTTTTAATCACTTTTAAAAATTGAAGAGGGTAAAATAAAATCACTTATGATTCCTGAAAAATGAAAAGTCAATGATGTCTGTTTGAAAATAATTTATAAATTGAAGTTCAAATTACTAGAACATCTACCGTATTGGGCAGATTTATTCGATGTGTGCAAGTATATAAGTAATATTTACTGGTGAAATGGTACGTTATTTCAGAACTTTCAGGGATCTAATACATTATAAATAGCAAATATTACAAGTTTACAGATTGATTACGACAGCAAACGTGAAAGTAACAATTTTAACAATTCTGAGTCTCCTAGGTGTCTGCTAAGTACAATGTTGAAGCAAAAAGTTACTCCGACATCCGAATTATTAAAACAAAAATGCCACTAAGGCCAGTAACATAACCTCAAAATGTAGTATCGAAGCAGAACAAACTCATCTCGACCGTAAAGTTACGCGGGTGTGACGTGAATGACAGTAAGTGACATCTCCACTGGCTTTATTTTATTAATTACCATTCGTATTACTGAAGATTACATTCAATACCTTTTCAATAAGAAAGCTGTGAAACTTGAGTTCATGATGATAATAATTTTATTAACCTTCGGTGATTCAAAATGTTTAAAAACTCAAAAATGCGCAATCAAAAGTGCTCAAGAGTCCTGAAATTTTGCACATTTTTCTCACCATGGGATCTTAGATCGCTTTTTTTACTTTCTCCATGGACTGGCACACAGCAATATCACCATTTCCTGATGTCAAAAAAGTACAACAACGAAAAGTTTATTGATGCGGTAAACAGCTTTTTTGAGGATCTCAATAAATCGCATAACAGAAATGATCTAATTAAATTAGAACATCGAAATGATGGATATATTGGTCTTTCATCAGTTTACGCTATGAAAAAAATTATAAAAAAATTTATTTAACGTTTTCCTTGAGAGACAGAGGATTTATCAGCCAACGATCGTATTGAATTAATTAGTTTGTTGTCATTGGGACTTAGTATTTGGCACTATTAATTGTGTTTCAATTCTATACTCTGAATAGCATCCACGAAAATAGATTAAATATTTTTACTCTAAAATTGGTTTACAGAAACGTAAATGAAAATTGAGACCCAATCCATAGGAAATTGTCCGCACTGAGGTATTTAATAATTTACCAGCATAACATAAGCAATTTATCTTTTACTGTAGATAAGGCTAAGAAAATTCAGAAAATAAAAAAAGTAATAACTTTGTAATAAAAATGCAGTCTTTTTCATCAGCCAAGGTAGGAAGACTTCGCTGTTTTAGAGTGTACTATAAATGTTTTCGTTATCAAGTGTTTGATTAAATGACTAGCTTAGTGGTGAATTTAAATAGGTACCATGTGCACTATTACAAAGTACTGTTTAACCTTTTAACCCTTACAAAGAAAAACTTTTAAGAGTTCACCATTTATGATATTATTTTCTGTCAGGCGATCTATTACAGTTGTAAAAAAGTGGAGTAGACAACTCCTACAACAGAGGCAGAATTGTTACAAGCAACTTGATCAGAAAAGAATGTACATTTATTACATGTATTTCGTTGAATAGAATTAATATACTTAGAATTCATAAAAACTCTTACGGGACAAAAATAACAAACTGCAAAGAAACTGGTTTCAGTTATATTAACACAATAAAATATTTTTGTAGTTAACAATAATAGTTTAAAAACTTGACGAACGCATTTTCGTGTATTTATGAATTCATGATGCTACTTGCAACGCATGCACACTCACGGCAGAGAATATAGAATATACTCTTCTTGCATAGAAGGCAGAAGGCCAGATCGGCCGTTTTAGCGTTCGCAGTATTTTCTCTTTATGTTTTAGTTATGTCCCCCTTAAGGCAGGCAGCGTTAGTGTCAGGGGTCGGGGGACAACCAGGTAACTTACCCATAGACCCATAGATGTCGATAACTATTACCTTCCAAACAGCACGGCGAAATGCCTGATTATTAGTATCTTACATAGATTAGAATTTTTTAAATGAATGCATAAGCTTTCTTATATTATTCTGTGTATGTAGTGTCTCAAATCTTTTATTTGAATTTTGTAACATTTAAATATCGTTTTTCGATTATTTAATTCACGAGTTATTTTGCTTTCATTGGTTAAGTTAGTTGCATTTTGTATGGAATTTATTTAAAACATTATAATCAATATACAACTCTACTGATGTATCACCTTCAAACTTATATTGACAATAACGCAGAGCAGAAAATTTTTTTACGTTTCATTAAAAATTAAAGTTGTAAATAAAATAAATTAAAAAAGTTGGACGAAGAGTATTGACCCCAAGAACTTAAGGTTTGAAAACAAAAGTTCTACCTCTGAACCAACGACTATACAGATCTGTAGCGCCGCTTTTTCAAGGACCTACGGACATGCACGCACGTCTTTAAGAGGGTCGATTCCATCAGGAAACCCCTCCAACCGCCTTACTCCCGGCCGCATCGGATCATTTGTCGCACCGACGAACGAACATACGTCATCGACGTCAACGGCAAACCACACACGGTCTCAACCGACGCCCTGAAACCGGCATACCTGGACGCCAAAGACACCTCAACGCCTTCAACGAAGACGGCACCACCCTCTCCAACGGCCTCGTCACCATCACCGGCAGACTCACCGGAGGTGCCTCCAACTAGGCAACCACCATCTGCCGACCCGTCAACGGCCCCAGAGCCCGCCCTTTCGACGAAGACGAAGAAAAGGGTCCATTTTTCGCTCTGTCCGCCTCCCGCGAACAACGCTGGAGGGAGAGTGGTTGTAGCGCCGCAGGCCTCTGCGCCAAAGAGCCAAAACCGGCGGAAGCAGCAGCTCGCCCCGCGCGAGATTTTTGCGGCAGCAAAATTAGGCGCTGCTGCCACCTCTGTTCCTTCACGGAATCTCTCCTTTAAAGCAGCCACCTAATGTGGCACACAGCAGTTCGGCACTGGCCCTCACCTCGACAGCACGTGCTACGTCTTGTGAGCCACGCCTCGACACAACGATCCATCTTAATAATTCTACAGTTTGTTAATCGTTAAAGTCAATTATATTATATTCTGATCAAACCTTGGCCTTGTCATTGCGTTAACCCTGTCCCTTCCGCTCGGCCTCCTAGAGCTCGTCAAGCTCACCGTTGTGAACTCTAAAGATCTGCTATGGGATTTTGTGGAATTTCGTGAGGTGCTCCGGCCTGCATAAGCTTTTGATATGCCTGTTGAGAAAAATTAATGTGAAACTTTTTTCATAGTTTCATTACCGATATTTTTTTAATTAATTGTAGTTGAGACAAGTTTTTCAATAGTTTCGCATCAAAAATCAGTAACATACAGGATACTAAAAATCAGGCATTTCGCCGTGCTGTTTGGAAGGTAATAGTTATCGACATCTATGGGTAAGTTACCCGGTTGTCGTTGTCCCCCGACACTAACGCTGCCTGCCTTATAGGGGGCATAACTAAAATATAAAGAAAAAATAAAATACTGTGGACGCGAAAATGGCCGATCTGGCCTTCTATGCAAGAAGAGTATATTCTATATTCTCTGACCTAGGCAACTCACATAGGCCCCAGCTAACTAGCTTGGGAGCCCTGCTATCTTCCCGATCTGGATATAACTTTCGACCTTCGAGACATGACGTGACCACGGTGTAAGGCAAGACACGTGGTATGAGCGTTGGGTTAGGCAGATTCAATATCGGAACTTTTTCCCTAGATCGTATATATAGCTATACGATCAAGGGAGAATGTTCCGTCGAGCAGACAGCACAGCAGTGAAGGGGCATTGCGAAAGACACGCGGAAATTAAAATTGTAATATTAATAACACAAGTGCCCATCACCCAATGACCCGGGGTGCTTACTGGCCACTCTGTTAAATAATAAAATATTAATTATTAACACAAACACCTATCACCTGTTGACCCGGGGCGCTTACTGGCCTCTCTATTAAAAAATATAATATTAATTATTAACACAAGCTAAAAATTAAAGTTGTAAATAAAATAAATTAAAAAAGTTGGACGAAGAGTATTGACCCCAAGAACTTAAGGTTTGAAAACAAAAGTTCTACCTCTGAACCAACGACTATACAGATCTGTAGCGCCGCTTTTTCAAGGACCTACGGACATGCACGCACGTCTTTAAGAGGGTCGATTCCATCAGGAAACCCCTCCAACCGCCTTACTCCCGGCCGCATCGGATCATTTGTCGCACCGACGAACGAACATACGTCATCGACGTCAACGGCAAACCACACACGGTCTCAACCGACGCCCTGAAACCGGCATACCTGGACGCCAAAGACGCCTCAACGCCTTCAACGAAGACGGCACCACCCTCTCCAACGGCCTCGTCACCATCACCGGCAGACTCACCGGAGGTGCCTCCAACTAGGCAACCACCATCTGCCGACCCGTCAACGGCCCCAGAGCCCGCCCTTTCGACGAAGACGAAGAAAAGGGTCCATTTTTCGCTCTGTCCGCCTCCCGCGAACAACGCTGGAGGGAGAGTGGTTGTAGCGCCGCAGGCCTCTGCGCCGAAGAGCCAAAACCGGCGGAAGCAGCAGCTCGCCCCGCGCGAGATTTTTGCGGCAGCAAAATTAGGCGCTGCTGCCACCTCTGTTCCTTCACGGAATCTCTCCTTCAAAGCAGCCACCTAATGTGGCACACGGCAGTTCGGCACTGGCCCTCACCTCGACAGCACGTGCTACGTCTTGTGAGCCACGCCTCGACACAACGATCCATCTTAATAATTCTACAGTTTGTTAATCGTTAAAGTCAATTATATTATATTCTGATTAAACCTTGGCCTTGTCATTGTGTTAACCCTGTCCCTTCCGCTCGGCCTCCTAGAGCTCGTCAAGCTCACCGTTGTGAACTCTAAAGTGGTGACCCCGAAATTTAAAATTCGCAATTTGCGACAACGGTGCCAGCGAGGGCAGTTAAGCAGGACATAAGTGCAGTGCTGTGCCAGTGCGTGGAATTAAGGAAAAAAACACCTTACCTTCCACACTCCACCTGTAAAGCATAAACATTAACGAAACGCACGCGGCCTTGCCTCGTGTCAGCGCCCGCCATTTTTTTTGCGTCCCGTGCAAAGTTTTCGCGCGTCTCTCTCTCTCTCTCTCTTGACTACATTTGTCTCAGCACTCCTCATCTTCTTCTTCTGAAGGAGCAGCTCAGGATGCCTTGGATATCAGCTCATGATGCCATTATAGCTGTGCTAAATGTCCCTGCCCCAGACAAAGCTCCACGCTACATCACTTGCAGGTCCTTCAGGAGCTTCAGCGAACAGGCCGTCATACAGGATCTCAAGCAATATAACTGGTACCAGATAACTGAATCTGTAGACGTTAATGAGAAAGTCTATCTCTTCGCTGACTTTCTGAAAACCACCTACGACAAGCACGCGCCAATACGTACTTTCAGGGCAAAAACACGCCCAACACCATGGATTACTTCTGAAATCAAGGACCTGATAAAAGCCCGTAACCGGGCCTGGCGCGATGTCAAGCGTAATTCATCGGAACACCTTCGTGCAAAGTACAAAACCCTGCGTAACGCAGTCAAACAAGCTACTCGCGACGCCATGCTTCAGTACCACAAAACTAGGTTTCTTCAATGTCACATCACTGCGGAAACCTGGAAGTTGATCAAGTCTATTGGCCTTGGTGGACATACACACAAGAGGGCTCAGCTCCCTTCTTCGCCGTCAGAGATGAACAAGTTTTTTGTGGGCTGCGATGAGCCAGTGTCACTGTCACCTCACCAATTCGCTCAAGTTGATCCAGATGAACGATTCTACTT